ATATATATGGTATAGACTCTATGGGTGGCACATACAGTACATGCAGTACAGGGGACAGGCAGGTATAGGATAAATATGGGTTCATGGTGTGCAAATAAGTATTCAGTAACAGGAACCTTTGAAAAAAAAAACAAATTATAATATTATCACCCATATATATTAATATTACCCATCTTCTATAATGGTGTAAGTATTTGGTGCCTTCAGAGCTGGAAAAGTAGGTTATTTGTCTTTAAGTGGCGCAGCCTGTCCTCAAAATCCCATAGGTGTACTGTAATTTCTAGCCTATCAAACCTATTGAAAGGGAATGGGTTTTCAAGGGTGGTAGTGAAAAATGAGTGAATGGTGGCAGCCTGGCTGCCGTACTCATCATCGGCCCCCTACCACCCTCAGCCATGCCCAGCCCCAGGGACATGTACCCCCGCAGAGCCTATATGCCAAACCAGAGCAGCAGCAGCCCGAGCACTGCCGACACTTCCTCCTCACACCCTGCCCACCACCACATAATAGGACAGCCGACATGAGCATATCAACCTTCTCCAACCGGCATTCCACACTTGAGCTCTCGGAGCAGGCCATAAGGCAAAACCTGGCCAGGCTGAACACAATCAGCCTGACTGTGCGAGAGGAAAGGGTGTATGAACCTGGGAATATAGATACCAGGTTTCCGTGAAGTGTCACATGTATGTCCATTTAGACAATGAGGATACTAGCAACTCTAATGTTGGGATTTAGCTAATGGTGCAATGAGGTCCACAAGAGGAACGCCATAATAAAGTCTACAGCCACAAGGCAGGTAAACAATGTTCCAAGTCAGTTTTAGTACAACACTTTCATATCTGACTAGCTTGCACCTTAAAGATATTGTACAGATTCAGAGGTCAACTAGAAACAGTCAGAATTATTTGCTGCTTAATTCCTAATTGTATACAATTTTCTATTTTGAACTCTCCTTGACATTTTCATACTAGCTACATATTTATCAAGCTTAAGGTGCGATTAACCTCCCTAAATGCCAAGGGCATCCTACTTGTGAAAACCTTCAATCTGCTCAACTGTGCAGCACGAGAAAAAAAAAGTTAAAATAATTTATAAAATTAACCTTAGTATTAAATGATCTGGCAGATAATTCATGGGTCTGAGACGCTGCAAGAATATACAATTAGACATGGGTCAATATGTCATCTCTTGACATATTACTCCATGTGTTCGTTGTGTGTGGGCAGTAAGCTACTGCAGAGGGAAACTATAGGACAGGGATTCAGCAATCAAATGGTATTTTACTTATATTCAAGGTAAAAATATGTTTCAAAAACTAAATAACAGTGTTTTTTTAGTAAATTACTCCAAGATGTAATCATTAACAATGAAAAGTTGGAGCCCAATCACAAAATCAGAACATTTTCTTCACTTTGACTCTTGGGTTCTCAGGAATATAACAAAAACAAAACTTGTTGACTCGGCTCTAAACACTCCAAAAATTATAGGTCATACTGACCCTTTCCTTTTCCCGTACATATTCACTTTGCCTCAATCCCTCACACTGTTTGACCGCAGAGAGCAAAGTGAAATATAAGGAACATTATTTTCAAGAATACGTCATCATGTAAGAGTCCATCTATTACATGTGAGAGTGATAGGTGCCATAACTGCTGTACATTCTAGTGAATTAGTGCTTTGTTCATGCAGGGCCAAGCAACAGGTTCATCGAAAAGCTGCTTATACTAACTATTGTATATAATATATAGCTATATTAACTATACTTACAATTGTTCCCCTGCAGCTCTTCTAGGCTCTTCCCTTCTAAAGCAAAGTAAAGTTTACTTAAATTTTTCTGAAAATAAGAAGTCCATTGGAAGCTGCCAGTCAGCCTCAGCTCCCTTGTGACCACGCTGGTGCCTGGTGATTTACCAAATGGGCTCCCAGTGTCACATTGTGGGAGGAAGGAGAGAGAATAAAATATTTCTCATATCAAGACCTACTGAGTATTTCACTTTGCTTAAGACAAGCAGCAGGGGAGCAGTTGTAGGGTAAGTATATGCAGCTTGTAGATGAACTTGTTGGCCCTGCATGAATAAAGCACAGGTTTACTTTAAATACTATGATATCCTCAGTATAGAATCTACAGATTTATGGCCATTAGAAAGCCAGATGATGATGCCAGTCTAAAATGAATAAAATCGCTGGGGAATTTAGAGACACTTTTGTTGTGGCCCTGTAACCCCCTCATGCTATTACGAAATCTCATTATTGAAGACTTTAAAAGACAGGTGAATTAACCAAAAATTGGCATCACTAGGCAGGGACAGACTATTCAATGCTCTCATACCAAACTGAGGGGTGGGGCTGGGAAGAGTAGAGAGTCTAAAGAAAGTTCTATCATAAACTTTGGTGACTCCCAGTCATGCATTTAAATGTTAAGGCCAACTGATTTTATAATGCATCAATGCAAAAAAGGTGTATATAATCCAAATTGTTGGTACTTAAAGTGACATTAAACCCTCAGATTTTTTAACATAAAACAATACTGTAATGTGTGCCTTACTGTAATCCATGGTTGTTTCCCTTCTCTTTGCTGCTCTTCCTTTTAAATCTCTTCTCATGCTGGGCAGAACTTCTGTTTTGCAGCAGACTGCCTTGTCTCTGAAATGGATACATGGTGTCTGTGTGCAGGTTCACAACCTGAGCCAGCACTACAGGAAGAGGCACTCAGCTGCAAAGGGAAGTTCTCCCCCAGCATGAGAAGAGATACTGATTTAAAAGGAAGAGCAGCAAAGAGAAGAAGGGAAACTACCATGGATTACAGTAAGGCACACATTACAGTATTGGTTTATGTTAAAAAATCTGAGGGTTTAATGTCACTTTAAGTCAGGTGTACATGTTGCCAATGAGCAATCCTGACATGCTATTCAGGTAATATGCAAAATCAACTAAGGATACCCCACCCCAACACCAGCCCTGAAACATATGTCTGTATAATGAGAAAGTATAACAGCCTTTCACATCAGATATAATTACAGACTATACACAGTAACAAGGCTTTTATAAAACATTAGCACACATTGGTATGATCTTTAAAAAAGCTGGTCACATTCACATATATAACAAATAAAATCTTGAAAGGACTACTGTTTTCCTATAAAAAGAAACAGGTCACAAAGAAGAAAAATGATCAGTGATATAGTCTTGCTCTGACTGCATGGTACATTTGTGTAAAGCATGGGCACACACATCCAGAATAATAATGAACCAACCTTACCAGCGTTTGTGTAGTGGTTTATCCCTTGAGTTCTCTGTAGTTCAAAGAACTCCAGACATTTTTCATCCTGTTCAATCCTATAGCACAGCTCTCTCATCAGCATCATTGTGCTGCGACAAAAATCCTCTTCATAGTCCCCAGACATCTTGCAATACCATCTCTCAGCACTAGGACATAAAATTAGACTTCACCATGTGGGCCAGAAACATACTTAGAATCATAACTAATCCTCAAACACAATTGGCCTTTCTATTTTAACATGCAATAGCTGTAAATGTTGGGAACAGGCACAGACTCAACACATACACCACTGTTGCCCAATAATCTTACATTAAGACAGGCATAGACAACAAATTATTTTGGATGTCTGGATTAGGAGACTGGTTACATTTAATGCATATTTAGAAGCAGCAAATTATAGTGTAGATTTTCTAAAATGTGCCACTTTTTCACCACCTGTTCAAAGTGTTTGCCTGCACCTTTGCCCGAGCAGTAATATTTACCGCTATGATCTGCACAACATTTTCATCTCCTATTTTTTAAGTAACATTGGCTGTACTTAGAAGTCAGAAAACTCTATATTATTATTATTATTATTATACAGGATTTATATAGCGCCAGCAGTTTGTGCAGAGCTTTACAATACAAGACAAGATGGTAAGGAGGGCCCGGCATGTGAGAGCTTATATTCGCATGGTCTTAAAAAATTCTGGTACTGTCAAGATGAAAATCATAATTTTTACCAGCGATAGATCAAGCCCTGCCACACTTGATCTCAGATGTAATTGCAGACATTTGCTGTACTAGAATTTAGCTAAAATCTTCATGTTGATACGTCAGTATTTGCAATCTTCACCATTTAACGGCTTCATGAAGATCTAATGGACAAAAACCAATAGATGGCTCGTAAACAACAGTCAAATCTAAGCAGAGAAATGTGCCTTGTTGCAATCTTCTTTAATAAATATACCCCTTTGCAGTATACACAATGCCTTTATTAAAAACTATAGGAAAGGTTTTGTTCATAGAGTTCACAGATCTGCCCATCAACAGAAACTATGACCAGAGAATCTCTATGACTTTACTTGTACTGGATTTATTTCACAGTATGCAGTATGCATAGGTGTGCAGGAAGGATAAGCTCTCACAAGGAACCCTCACCAATGGACATGCCAAAATACATAAGAAGCCAGGCCATAATTCAACTTACAAGTGAATATCATAAAATGCTGGTATTCGGAACTGAGCAAATCTGCAAAGCAAAATTGTTACCACCATAAGGAAATTTGAAAAAATGGCGCCTGGGACAGAAGGTCTTTAATACTTACTGTATTTGTTCTTCTACCACCAACAGTGGCAATCTCCACTGGATTTGAAGAAATATCACTGTCTGATAATATTCTCCATCCAACACACTTCTGGTGGTGTCAGATGCCTGGTTCCATATGCACTATGTGGTCTAATCCACCAGCCTCTATGTTTCTACAGGAAAAAATAGAGATGTTGAGCAAGCAGATGGAACGACAGCACTTACTGGAGGACCAGGTATCTGACATACCTGAAAGTGTGTTCAATGCAGTAGATTCCTCAGACAGACAGATGTATCCAAGACAGTGAGAATCGACCACACAGACAGCAGAAAATGTAATTCTTAAAAGTCTTGTTTTCTAGGCACCATTTTTTATGTACTTTTAAGTGTAGACCGGGTTACTGTAACTTTGCCCAGACAGTTTTGAACAAACCTGCATTAGAAAAAGCTGGGGAGAAGCTGTTTTTCTCCCGCCATTCAAATAATGAGATTCAGCAGCTTGTTAGCCCCGCCCCCACAATATAATGGGCGGAGCTCTGTCCTGGGCCTCAAAGGATTGATTTTTCCACAGCCTGAAATGTGGGAAAACAGGAGATGAAAAAGATTAGTTTATCAGCCAACATTTACACATTGTAAATAATACTAGTTATCTATATTGTTTTTTCTCAAAGTCTCGAAGGTTCCACTCGAGCCAATTAGGAACTGTCACATTTTGCTTGCTGCCAAGTGAAAGCTGTATGAAGAAATGTAATCTTATGTCCAAATGATCAACTAGGAACGGTAGACATTCCAATATCTTGTATAAATATAATAGAACAATATGAGCAATTAATGTTTTTTTTTTTTTTTTTTTTTTTTTTTTTTTTTTTTTCTTGCCACAAAA